TCTCTCTCTTTGTATCTCCAACTCTCTCTCTCTCTCTACATCTCTATCTCTCTCTCTCTCTCTCTTGTATCTCTATTTCTCTTTTTTATTCACACTCCTTCTATCTTTATTAATCTCAATTATACTAACTCATTAGCTAATATAATAGTACTCTATTATGTGTCTCGATAATACTCACTCCTAGACCACTATAGTAATATGCAAATATATATCTCAACAATAATCACTCATTAACACACCATTTAATACTCAGTTTCATATCTCGAGTGTATATGCTAAAAATGTAATACTTTACTATGCATCTCAATTATACTCGTCTGTTTACTCGAATAGTATTAAAATACTATAATTTCCAATTACTCTATTTAATAACTCGTATAGCATTAAACAAATATCATTATCAATTATCACAAATACTCAAATCATATAACATTAATACATAGCAATCCAAATATTATACCCAACTATGAGTATGCACAATAATTATCACATATCTAGATAACAATCATCTAGATAAAGTTAATGTTACTCAACTTGTTAGTTTGTGAAAACTAACTACTACCCTCGACTCTAAATCTGCAATTGATGTACTTCATTAATATTGTTTTCCAAAAACCTATTCATATATCATGTAGAGTTCCTTAGAACTCATCTCAATAAATTAAGAGCTTGATAACATTCCAAATCACCAAAATCACATTTTTTTTGTCCAAAAATACTAACTTGACAATTTCTTGTCAAGAAACCGATTAAGCTTCATGAATTAAGCTTAAATATGACTTAATTCATTAAGTTCAATATTTAATTTCACTATTTTATCACTTTCACCAATTAGAGTTTGAAACCCTGATAATCAATAAACGAATTCAACCATGGAATCTCAACATAAGGTTTGTAATTAGCTTCTAAACACTGATAATATCATCATGATCAAGTTGGGAAATCAATACCTTTATGTGTTTCTGTAGATTAGAACTTGTTTCCATTAATACTAGCCTTCTCTAAACAACTTCACAACGTCAAAATTGCCCTAGCAGAACCCTCATTCGAACCCATTGAAACATATTCGGGAACAGACGTTTAACAGATTAAATATGTGTTTCCTATGTGTTATCTCGTCGTGATAAGTATATAGTCACGTCGTGGTCTCTAGGAATCAACAAAGTACATTGTTGATTCCATTCCAGCTTTGGGGATATTTTTGTGCCAACTTCAAACATGTATATCTTCTTCTTTTTTTATCCGTTTTTGAGGATCTTTATATCCACACGAAGCTAGGAACATCCTCTACAACTGTATTAAGCTAGTTATCACTGAATTAATACAAGTCTTAATCTATTAAGTCACAAAGTATGCCTAAAAAGCATTAAATTCCCTTTTTACTCTTTTGACCAAAAATACATCTTTTCTTGCATTGTTAATCTTAAACTTACTCATCTAATCTCTTTTTAGTGAGTTAAACTCTTCTTGGAAATTTTCAAGAAGTCACAAATTCATAATCTCATATTTTTATCATAATTGACCAAATTGCCCTTTTGGTCCATATTTGACTAAAAGTCAAATCTTTCCAAATTTTAGGTTGTTACACTTTTGGTGGATGTGACATGAAAATCGCACACATAAGGCTCGCTAGGTCGGTCTCTATACTTTTCGGGCTCATGTAATTAATCATACCCACCACAGAATTACATGGATCCATCGTTTGTTTCAAGATTCGCAAGAACCCTAAAATCCACAATGTTCACTTGTTTCTTGGAAATAATTAACAGATTAGAAGGTTTTTTTATCACGGTGGGCGATCTTTCGTGAGAACAAGAGAAATATGATGTGATTTGTAAGTGAATAAATATGAGCTAATGGTGGTCGATGGTGTAAGGTGAAAACGATGAAGGTGGATAATTGGTAAGGGTGATTCACAGTAGTATAAGGCTGGAAGGATGGTGAAAGGTTAGTTGTAATAGAGGGATAAGGGTGGTCGATGGTGTTTTTGAGGGTGATAATCGGTGGTGTTTGTGAGGTGGGGTCTTAAATCCTGTTATAGTAGGTCAAGTGACCTTAGTAACATGTGAAAACATACTTTAAGCCCTTATACTACAAAAAAAATCATTACAGACATTTTAAAACAAATGTGAAGAGTTTGTTTGGTTAAAATGGCATTTAACTTTATATTTAAAGAGTCAAATTTCATATTGTCGTTTTTCAGTCTGTAGAAGAATAACGTTTAAGCATAAGCTTCTCTAAAAACCCACTCTCTGCAGATCCAGTCCGCAAAAACCAACTCTGAAGAATAAGTCCGCACATGGTACCCCGGTCCGTAGAGAAGATATTGCAGACTCATGAAAATTACCAAAATATCCTTGTATTTGAATTAATGTTGAGTCGGCAGAGGCCCTTCTATGGACTCGATAATTATTTTTGGAAAAAATGGTTTTTTGGTTATTTTTTAGAAAATTATTTAAATAATAGTTGTATTTGTCAAATTTTCTAATATATATATATATATATATATATATATATATATATATATATATATATATATATATATATATATATATATATATATATATATATATATAGGGTGAGGTTCAGTAGAAAACCATAATTAACAAGGAACCAATGAACCAATCGTGAGCATTGGAAATCATAATGATCAACGGCCAAGAAAATAGATGTACACTTGTACATTGGACGCATACACACCAGATTATACCAAAAAATCCACCTCCTTACCAAAAAGCCCACCTCTTTTTTCGTTTAAATTTTTTAGGGCACATTTTTTTTTTGAAAAATAAAACCAAATATACCGTTGTTCACGATTTTTCGTCATCTTTCCATAGAGATCCATGTTGATATATAAAAAACAATCTTTTATTTTTAAAAAAAAACTCACTTCATTTCGTTATTTTTTTCAATATTTAAGTTTATTTTTATCAGAAAAAAACTAATTATACAAAAAATATTAATTTTTTGTACTCTATTAATAAACATCAACACCGACTAAAAAAAACTCGATCATTTCAGATTAACACTGTGAATCTAAACTGTAAATATCTCAATTTGTAACATTCACAATGTGAAAAAACTCGATAAGTTCAGATTCACAATGTGAATCTAAAATGTAAATATTTCAATTTGTAACATTCACAATGTGAATTTGACTTATTATTTCAACTCTTTGATTATTCGTAAATTAACTTAGTGAAATTTACATATGAATCGAAATACATTCCATGTAGTTTTATAATATTTTAACTTTTTCATTACTCATAAATTAGTTTTGTAAAATCAACAAATGAATTTATTCACATTGTGAATCTGACTTACTATTATTACACCGTGAATCTGAGCAGGTTCACAATGTGAATCTGAACAGGTTCACAATGTGAATTTGAACTAAAATTTCGATTTTTTATATTATTTATTTATTTATGTATTTTTTTTAAACATCAACATGAATCTATGTTTAACGAGTACAAAAAAATATGAATTTTGATATATTTATTAATTTTTTTCTACAAGAAAATAGACCTTACCTTTTCAACAAACAAAGAAAATGAAGTGGGTATTTTGAAAAAAAAGTTCATTTTTTTATATATCAATATGGATCTCTTTGGAAAGAGGACGAAAAATCATAAACAATGGTAGATTCAGTTTTTTTTTCTCGATAAAAAACACGGCTTAAAAAAATTAAACTAAAAAAAAGGAAGTGAATTTTGTTATAATCCGATGCATATGTAAGTCCCAAAACAATAGATCTTGCATAATATCAATCAAACTATTTAGTGAATGCGGAATGTAAACCAAATAGTGATTCAAGAACACGAAATAACTTCCGATGCACACGATTCTATTGACAATAAATCATCTGGTACATGAGAATATTAGAAGCAACCGTGAACCAAAAACAATGAGAATGACCACTCTAAATGGCTGAATACAATTCTATATATACCGAGTACAATACCCAAAAGCCCAACCCATTATGACCGTAAACACTAGGTGATTACGGTTCATCTATCCGTAAACACATACAAGCCCATTAATCTATTAATACTCTAAGTCCAATATTACAAACAATATGAGCCCAACATAAACCACAAAAATATGACCCAACAATGTCCCCCTTGGTTTATTGCTGGCTGCGTTTACAGCTTGTCTACAAGATGAACAACTGACCGATCGAACGCCCCAGCCCACAGCTTCTTGTCAATTATAGTGGCAACCATTCCAGTGAAAGCTTTGCCAGTAGCTTCAAAAAGTTCATTTTCTACAACAAGTTGAAAATGTGACAAAGTATGAATATCACGTTCTCCAAACTTCAATAAATCTTTGGGACCGACAATACGATACTGGCCCTTTTTCGACTTGATCACCGCCGACGCGGTAGCCTCATCATATGCCCAGAATTGCATGGAGTCCAAAGTGCCTTCTGGTAAGCGTTTAGGAAGCGGAATCCTTTTAGCTTGCTTTGTGGGTGACCACATAACATTCACCATGGTTTTATTAGTGCGAGGATCAATGACATCCTTAGCCTTTTTTGTGAACGATGAAGCAGTTTTCATGCCTTGAAATTTATTTTTAGCTTGGTCCTCAAGGTACCTCTTAAAATCCCAGGCCACAGAGTCATTGGTTGGATTGTTGAAAGGAGCGTGAATGAGTTCAACAAGATCAACTTTTGTCCAAGACATAAAGTCAGTTGGCTTCTCATAATACTCAATTAGACTACTCTTACGCTTCACAACCCACATTTTCTTGTCAGCATCATATACCCACATCAAAATGCCAGAGCGATCTCCATACTTATCAGTAAATTTCTTCCCAGTTTCCCTAAAAAACAATTCAGGGTGATCACCTGGAACATTTTGATCTGAATGCTTCATCACCAACATCTTCCCTTTCAGCTGCTCAATTCGAGCTTGCTTCTCTCTTCTTTCTTGAGTAGAAGAAGGACCAGAAGATAAAAATGTGTCAAGATTTGCATCCGGAGCAGGTATTACAACTCATTCACTTGCATGTCGAGAAGGTGGATCGACTGGATCAGAACTAGAAGCAGAAATCTTTTCACCTTCAGTGCTTAAAGGTTGAAAATCATCACCAAACTTCTGATGTAAGCGATGTTTCAAGTCAAAGAATAAAGCAGTTATACCACCAAGATTTGCTTGAAGCTCTGAAATCTTCGCATCTTGAAAAGAGTTCTCCTGTTCAAGATTAGAAACTCGCACATCCAGACTACCAATCAGTAAGTCCTTCTCAATGGACTCTTGTTTCAAAAACATAATCTCTTGTTTAAGCTCAGAGATGGTGTGATGTGAGTCTTCATCACCTCCTTTCCTGGAGCCAATAGAAATTCCTTTCCCTTTGGATTGAGAAATGGAATATTGAAAAGCAAGTAACTTGTCTAGTTTAACAGATGCAACATCGTGCTCTGGAGGTGGTGGAGCAGAAGAGCTTCCCGAAGCAAATGCTTCCTCATTAGTCATTTGAACTTGAACATCTTCTTGGACCGGGGCTGTTTCAATGATTGGGCTTTGAAAATATTCTTGGACAACTTGAGTGGGCTCAATAATCGGACTTTGAGCATCATAAGCAACTTGAGTGGGCTCAGCAATTGGAGAGGGCTGCTATACTGGCTCAGTAGAAAGCACTCCCAGCCTTGGATCTTTACGTCTTCGCCTTCTTGGCGCTAAGGAGGCGTTTGAATCAATTTTATCACTCTCAAATGGAGAATCAGAAATAACAGGAACTGCTTGGGGAGGCTTCCTTGCAGTTGACTGTAGTTGAGCAATGAGAGCATCCATCTGTTTGGGTGTGGGATCGTTTGACTGCTTAAATATATTGACATCCTTTTCTGACTCAGCTGGAGTATCCACATCCTTACTGATCGGCTCCTTCGGGGGTACATATATATGAAAATCCATTCCATCATCATCACTATCATTATCATCATCATCACATCATCATTAGTACCATCATCATCAGAATCATCAACATCATCATTAGCATCATCATCATCAGAATCATCAACAACCTCAAACGAAGAACCAAGATTTGATCTTGCTGGATCTACATGTTCTTTAGCTACTATTGCAATTGGAGTACTAGAAACTTGAACACCTTCTGTCTCTGCAAACTTTCCAAATTTAACCAATTCTTATAGTCCTTGAAAGGTGACTTTGGTAGCTTGTCTTGATTGCTTCATGAGCCCAAAAGTGTTAGGACCCAGATCTTTCATATCCAAAGTATCAGAAGATCTCTCGATCTGGGGATATGTTTCATTTAGAATCATCTGAAGAAAATTGGGATACATTAAAAACAAATCCTTCTTCTTCCCCTGGAGATTCCTTTTCATTTCTCCAAAAACATACTTTGAAAAGTTGTAATCCCAATTCATTGTTAACGCAACAATGGCTGAGGTTGCAGTCTGACTAAGCTCATCAAGTCCACTCTTCTTTCCAAAAATGCAGCTTACAAAACAGTGTGCCAAAAACCTCCAGTAAGGTGGCAGCAGCTTCTTGAGGGTAGGAGGGTAGGTTCCTTCATAACACATTTTCTCAAGGACTTCCTTCACTTGATTAATATGGTACTCAATTGGAAATGCAGGATCATCACCAAATTCAAGCAATTCTCGAATAATTTGCTCAGAGACAGCTGCTTTAGTTCCCTTCACCGTTGATTCAAAAGTACCAGCTCCATTTGCACCCTGGTTACTGACAGAGATATTTTTCCAGAAATCAGCAATTAGGTCCTTGAAGATGACTGGATTAGAACGTAAGACGTGAGAAATTCTTCAATTAATCAAGCCTACAATCATGTATTTGAATTCTCGATGAGCAACAGGAGGATCCATAAGAAATCCAGCAACATTGTGATTTTCATAGAACTTTAACTGGTCCGCCATTAATCTGCACCAAACGAGTCAGGTAAGAATAATAAACAGATTAAGATTAAAATTAAAATTTGTCCAAAAGTATTGATTTCGATTCAAACTTTAATTATTAAGAATTATAAGAATAATAACTTCTTATTAAAAATAATAACATCCTTTTGACCAAGCGTTTACGGTTAAAGTCAAGTTTTCACCGTTTACGGTCAAATAAATGGACTTCATCGTTTACGGGAAAAACGTTTATGGTTAAGCCACATTTGACCAAAAACGTTTACGGATGAATTATAGTTTGAACAACACGTTTACGGTAAACTTTATTAGTTTACAGACAAAACAAGTGAGTTCCATCATTTACGGTCAAAAAGAATGGGTTTTCTATCAAATTCGGATCAAAGCGAAAAACCGAAAAGAAACCGACGATTCATCGTTGACAGCTTCGTCAGAATTCTGCCGTCAACACATCAAAAACTCTTCGAATACCCTACAAAACTTCCACGAAAACATCATGGCAGGTGAAAAATCAAGCTCGAAATCAATATACCTAGATGAATCAGCAGTCAAACAAGATGAAATTGATGATATTTGGTTAAAGATGAAGCGATGAAAAGTTTATCTTGCTTAGGGTTTTGAGAGTATTTTGTAGAGATGGTTTTGAGAGAAAAGGGGCAACTCAATTACAGTGAGATTTTTCAAAAATGAAGTGAAAAGGAAAAATCAAACCTTTTGTACTGAAAAATTTTGGGTTCACGATCCATTAGGCTTAAAAATGATCCAAGAAAAAACATAAGAAATTTAATTCTAAAATAAATAAAAATTTAAAATCAAAATGCAAATTAAAAATTAAAATTTAAATAAACTTAAAAAAACTTTGAATGAGAGAATAAAATCAAGAACAATATTTTTGTATCTTTAATTCTCCCCCTAAATTTGTGCATAGAGAAAAACTATGAACAAATTTAATAAAACAAAAATAATAACTAAAATTTGAAACTTTTGGGATCAAAGTTGTCAGACAGTTCAATATCGTTTGACAGCACACACCTGCATGTTTAGCTCTGGTCAATCACAAATATTGTGATCGACTTAAACACAAAGGATATTGACAAGTTGGACATATTATAAGTGACCAAACATTGCACCTATATTCCTAAATGGACCATTTAGCTGACGACAACCAAGGATATTTTTGTCCAGCTAAATTCAGCAGCGAGATCTACAGACAACATTTTAAATGGTTCAATTTTAAGTGTACTAGAACGTGTTCCCCACTTCCCATATACCCCGATAAGCAAGAACTTCCAAAGAACTCTTTAATTTAGGTGAGTAGACAATTATTAAGAGAGAAGTCAGATATAGAAATGCATATGTTGTGCACCAGGTCGGATCTCCTCCAATCACGCAGAGGGGACAACATGTGTCTAACACAGATAGAAGGATTGAGAGGTAGAATGTTGCATATGTTGTGTTCCAGGTCGAATCTCTTCCAATCACACAGAGGAGACAACATATGGCTAACAGATAAAAAGAATTGCATAGATAAGAAGATGCATAGAGATAGAATTGCATATGTTGCATTCCTGGTCGGATCTCTTCCAAGCACGCAGGGGAAGCAACATATGACTGATAGATAGAAAGCAAGAAAATAATTTCCTACAGACCTACTTTATCAGAACCCCCCAGTCTCCTTATCAGTACCGGAATTAAGGACATGAGTCCGTACATCGAGGAAATGTTAAACCATAGTTCTAGATATATATGATTTGAGTATATCCCGCAGGTTCCCATGTATATCTCACCACTCAACCTACCAGAGTGTCGTATTTTCAGTCTAAACGGAACTATTTAAGTCCACATTGTCAAGTCCTTTCATTGTCAATCTATGTCTAGTCCTTTTGAATCCTTCGTGCCTACCAGCACATTGAACATAGAGTCTCGACAATTCAGCTTCAGTGCTTTACACGCATCATAAACTGCCCTTTAGCACTAGACTTCATATCACTTCCCAAAAATACTTACGTGAATTTTTTTTTTGATTTCTCCCCCCTAAACTTGTGCATGGGAATGAAATTAAAAAAATCTACTCTTCGAAACGAATCATTTTTAAAAAAACCCACAAGCACATCGAAACGAGCTTTACTGAAGGGTTTGGTAAACAAATCCGCCACGTTATTATTAGTGTGAATTTGTTCCAAACGAATCAGTTTATGCTCATAACAGTCTCGAATAAAATGAATTTTAATGTCAGTGTGCTTGGTTTTGGAATGTTGAACCGGATTTTTAGCAATTTGAATGGCCGCATCATTATCACAAAAAATGGAAGTGTCAAGAAATATCAAACCGTAATCCAGCAATTGATGTTGAATTCAGATAACCTGAGAGCAGCAGGCTGAGGCAACAACATATTCAGCCTCAGCTGTTGAGGTCGACACTGTTTGCTGTTTCTTGCATTGCCATGACACCAATCGGTCCACTAAAAATTGACATCCACCTAATGTAGATTTCATGTTAAGATTACACCCTCCATAATTGTTGTCAGCAAACGCATATAAATCGAAATCGTAATTTTTTGGATACCAAAGACCCAATTTAGGGCTACCTTTAAGATACCTAAAAATTCTTTTAACAACAATTAAATGGGAAAGTTTAGGATTAGCCTTATAGCGGGCGCATTGACATACAACAAACATGATGTCAGGTCTGCTGGCAGTTAGATACATCAGAGATCAGATCATCGATCGATATTCAGTTTGATCTACGGATTACCCATATGTGTCTGGAGTCAACAAAGGACTTTCTGCTATTGGAGTTGAAGCAATTTTTGAATCTTTAAAATCAAACTTTTCGAGTATGTCTTCCACATATTTCCTTTGATGCAATAAAATTCCGGCCGAATCGTGTCGAACCTGTAACCCTAGGAACATTGTCATCTCACCCAGTGAGCTCATCTCAAATCTTTTCTTCATTACATCCTTGAACTCTTTACATAGCTCTGTGCTGGTCGACCCGAAGATAATATCGTCTATGTAGATCTGTACAACAACTAATTCTGCATTCACTTTCTTGAGGAATAAGGTCTGATCGGTCGTTCCCCTTGTGTATCCATGCTCAAGCAAATGTTCGGACAGAGTAGCATACCAAGCTCTAGGAGCCTGATGCAACCCATATAGATCCTTGTCCAGCTTGTAAACATGATTTGGAAACTTTGGATTGACAAACCCTGGTGGTTGATCAACATAAATCTCCTCCTTCACGACTCCGTACAAGAAGGATGTCTTGACATCCATTTGATAAACTGTAAATCCCATGTAGGAAGAATATGCTAGGAATATACGAATGGCTTCCAAACGTGCTACAAGAGCATATAATTCTGTGTAGTCAAGACCCTCTATCTGCCTGAATCCGCGAACGACCAAACGAGCTTTATCGCGCACAATTGCCGCTCATCTTGCTTATTTCTAAAAACCCAACGTGTGTCCAAAGACTTCTTTCCCTTTGGTATCTCTACCAACTGCCATACTCTCAACATCTTAAACTGATTTAGTTCTTCATGCATTGCATCTACCCAACTTGGTTCGTTCAATGTCATGGCCACACTCTTTGGTTCGATTTGGGATATGAAGCACGAATAGAGACATTCATTGACATCTCCACTTTGATTTCTGGGGTGAACCCCACTTTCTAGTGGACCGATAATGTTCTGGATAGGGTGATCGCATTGAACTATGGTTGGAATAGGATTACTGATATCATTTACTATGACTGGAAGGTTGGAGATGTTGTCAAATTTTCTCGCTGTCTAATGACCTCCATCTGACTGTCTGTGATCACGAGAGGTACTTGCCACAAATTCATTTGCGAATGGCTCTGGAAAGAGAAACTCCATGAAGGTTTGAGTGGCAGATACATTTTCCCTTATAGGAACCTCAGCTTCTTCAGAAGTAGAGAAGTAGCGTCGATGTCAGATATAGCCTTTTGGACAGGTGAAGGAGACGATGTATTCGGTGTGGCTGCATTCACCGTAGGAGAGTCAAG